TATATATAGAGAGAGAGAGAGAGAGAGAGAGAGAGAGAGAATATAGGCGAGTCAGGGAGAAGCCATGTAACCCCACCCAAAACAGTCACCAGATGAAGGACAGAACTTTACCTGGTAAGCCACAACCACGTGGTGATACACAGATTAATAGAGATAGGTTAGTTTAGGATATAAGAGCAAGCTAAAAATATGCTTAAGCTATTGGCCAAACAGTATTACAATTAATACAGGTTTCTGCATGATTATTTCGGGAGTATAGGTGGCCAGAAGGCAAACAAGCAGCCTCTGCCAACAAAAGAGCTCAGGAACTGACAAGAACGATCAGTGGGTAAAGGTGCTTGCTGCCACAATATCTGAGTTCAGTCCCCAGAACTCACACAGTAGGAGGAGAAGACTTATGACCTCCACATGCATGTATCTCCTCTAAGAGAAGTAAATGTAAAAATATTTTTTAAAAAAAGAGGTCAGGTGCAGTCAAATGTAGAGCCTGACTTTGTTCTGGGGCATATGGGGAACAGACTTCAGCTGATAGCATCTGCAGAGAGTGACTGGTGTTTGGAGAGTCCTCACATTTGGTAAGAAATGCCCTTAAAAGCATGCTTGAGGAATTAGCAAGAGAGCTCAGTGGTGGAATATGTGCGTAGTTTGTAGGAGGCTCCAAGTTCAGTCCCCAGCACCAAAATTATCTTTGCTTTCTGCTTCACACATATTTAAATTTTCAAGACACAGCTATGGATAGAATACAGAAATCACTAAACTCTTCCATCTTTGCCCATCCCAACATTCTGACCTGCACAGCATTGACCTTCATCAGAAAGCGAATGGTCTCCATGAAGATTGTGGCGGGAGGTTGGGGGGTAGCATAAGGCGGAGAATGCAAAAAGGCCGAGGAATCTTGACATTTCGATAGTTCTGGAAACAGATTAACAGAAGACCAGATGCAAATAGGGAATGCCAGAAGCTCAGATATATTTAATAAGATATGGAGAATAATATTCTGATCTCCAATGAGATAAAGATCAGACTCTGGGAAGAAATAGACTATTTGTAGTTATGACTCAGAAAGCCGACTCAAAGGCCTTCATGGTAAATGTGGTTCTAAAGGCCAGTCACAACCGGATGAAGGGCCAGTCACAACCGGATGAATGGCCAGTCACAACCGGATGAGGGGCCAGTCACAACCGGAAGAAAGGGCTTTTGAAACCATCAAAGGGCCTGGAGAGACGCACCAGCCAGTAGAGGCACGAGTTCTGACTTCGTCTGCCATGAGAAGAGCCAGGCACAGGCGTGCCACTGAAATCCCACAAACAAAACAACACAAACCCAGCAGATCCCTGTACTCACGGGCCAGTCAAGACAGCTGAAACACTGAGACCACAGACTCACTGTGTCATTGGATGCACTGTTGGGAAAAGTCATCCAATGTACCAATGCATAGGGGAAATTGTGCCCACTACAAGATAAACACACTGTGGTACTATGGGAAGAATCCCCAAACTGTAATCTGAGGGAAAGAGCTCTTCACACAAGAAGTCTGCAATCGAGACAGCTAGCGCATTCAGAAGGCGGTGTTCCTTATCGTCCTGGAGATAAGGTCAGTGAGCTGCGCATCTCTGCTGACAGCACTGTTCATCCCCTGCCAAATGGTGCGTCCCACGGGAGATAAGCATCTCTCATGAGCTGACCCTGAAGGTCAGCTGTGTGTACCCTTCCTGCGTAATTCTGTGGTCTGTAGCAGATGACTAAGGCCAGACACCTAGTGTTGGCCTCTGGCCTCGCGCGCGCGCGCACACACACACACACACACACAGAGTTAACCAATTAATTTAAAGAAGTATTCTCAGACATCCTTGGGTTTGAAACACAACTTACAGATATTCTGAAAATGAATACTCATTGGAAAATTACAGTTCTGTTAGATACTTGTGTGAACAAAATTAAAATCCATATTTATCAAAGGAGTTCCAACATGGAGTTTGGATTTCAGACCCTGGACTAATGTGAAAAAGTGTGGTCAGTGTACCTTCATCAGGACCCACAGTCTCGAGAGTCCTTGCTCAGTGTACTTTCATCAGGACCCACAATCCCGAGAGTCCTTGCTCAGTGTACCTTCATCAGGACCCACAGTCCCGAGAGTCCTTGTGCTCAGCTGGTTTATTTACAGCCCTCTTTCCATGGAAAACACTGACTCCTACTTACCTTTTTTCGCTGTTAGCTCTTTTAATAGCACATTGGATGATTTCTGGGCAAGAGAAGGTTCCAGAGGCTGTAAAGTCATTATTGGTTCCTGCGACTCAGAATGCGCCTTAGATGATTCTTCAATAAACTCGTCTAGACTGGACAAGACAGTGCTTGGTCCTAAACAGATTAGATAACGATGAAAAGGAGCTTCGTCCCCGGCACTGGAAGGTCGCAGGGGTGAAGAAGTGCAAACACTACCGGGCTATTGTGTGGGCATCGTGAACAAAGACTGTAAGCGCCTCCCACCTCGTCGTTCCCAAGCTTGGTGAGGCCACACAGCACAGGCACTACAGTCCTTTGCCAGGTCCACAACCTCAAGAACTCACAGGAGAAGAAAGGGATAGCACAGACTACAGTAAGGCTCCCAAGGGACCGGACCTCTTCCGCCAGGGCTCAGCAGGAAGTGGGGGAAAGGAACAGCTCACAGAAGCAGACAGCGAACTGAACTGAATGCATACGATCTGGGAAGACATGAACCCAGAGGGCAGAGGCAGTGAGGGAACACACCGCCCACAAAATACTTCCAACTTTGAGGGGGGCGGACCACATCAAAGACACAGAAGATGATGATACAAAGAATAAGTGAAACAGCAACAACCTTGGGGCTGGGGCTGCAGCTCAGCGGGGAGATGAGGATTCAGCGTGTGGGAGCTCCTGAGTTTGATCCCTGAATAACAAAAAATTCTTGGTAATTTTTCAGAGGAAAATAACAAAAACCAGTAGCTTCAGACATAGAAGAGATGAAAGCTGAGAAATGACACCAGAAATCGCAAAGTAATGAAAGATGAAAATTTAAAAAGAAAAGGGGAAATTATGACACTATTGGAGGAAATAACAAGATAATGCAGGGGCAGCAGAGGTGGCCCAGGGCTTGGAGCATAAGTTCCAAAAGGGCCGGGGAGCTTGGCTCCCAGCATCCACATCAGGGGGCTCCCAGCTGCCTAGAACTCCTTCTCCAGGGGATCACAAGCCTCCACAAACTCCTGACTCAGACACATATGCACACATAAAATTAAAAATAAAGCAAAACATTTTTAAAAAGGTATTTGACACGAACATTGGAAGGGAGAAGACAAAACTATGTCGACTGGTGGGTATCAGTCATGTTTATCTGGTTGGTTGGATGGTTTTTCAAGACAGAGTTTCTTTGTGTGGTCCTGGCTGCCCTAGAACTCATTCTCTAGAATGAGACCTACCTGCCTCTGCCTCTCAACCACTGGGATTAAAGGTATGGATACCATGCCCAGCTCATAGTCATATTTTAAAGAACCAACAAAAATCATTATTTCATTAGAGTGAGTAAGAGAGAAACAAGGCTTCTACATACAAATTCAATAAAAACTATCTGGAACCTAGAAATAACTAGAAATTTTGTTTACTAAACAGGGTCTTATTAAATAAAGTGTTAAAATTTTAGTAAAAAACAAGAAGCTGGGCAGTGGTGTCGCACGCCTTTAATCCCAGCACTCAGGAGGCAGAGGCAGGAGGATCTCTGTGAGTTCGAGGCCAGCCTGGTCTATAAGAGCTAGTTCCAGGACAGGCTCCAAAACTACAGAGAAACCCTGTTT